TAATCATATAAACCAGATAGGGCATAAGGTTGGTTTGTATCTTCAAATCATTTGCATAAATGCAAAAGTCAGGATATTGAAAACAAACATCATCCAGTACCATATATAAAATGCGAAAGAAGAAGTTGAGATCCCTGTGGTACACCAGAAGTGACAGAAACATATGAATATGTGCAATTATTAATTTCTACACAGTGATTTCTGTTAAGAATGTAAGATTTATTAATCCATCTCAACAAGCTGTCATTAAGAGTATATTGTGGATATATCAAATGCTTTGTAAAAATCAGTATACAATACATTGCAACAACTTACTTTTTGCCGGACATACTATCATGAAGAAACCATGCTGATGTTCATTAATGATTCTCTGTGTTTTAAAAATCTTTTAAGATGCACCTTATAAACATTTTCTAGATTCTAGATTAATCTTGGATATATTTCCATATTTATGTTATTTGTAACTCAAGCAATAAAAGAAACCTGAGAAATCATCGGAAACGACTTGCCAAATATATGTTTTGATGTCTAAGTGATCAGTTGTTCACCAGGCTGGATACATTTGATATGTCAATGCGTTATAAATATTACCTATTATTTGTTGTTTCTCTGTACAAATTTATAAAAAGTGAAGTCGATTTTCTTAAGCTTCTTGGCTGTAATAATTCATCGCTTTCAAATCCGAACAATCGTTTTCACATTGCTATATATAGAACCAACGCATTTGGTAACTCTCCAATATTGGTCAAGGGTAGATCCAGGACGAGGGGAAAGCTAAGGAAATTTCCTTCTATTTAAATCCCGAAATAACGAAAGAAATAATGCAGAAGGATGAACAGAAGACGGAATAGTGTTTATATATTACTGAAATTATTAATAAGTTATTAGAAATTTACTATTACCCTATATAAAAGATTTTATTGAAAAAAACTAATTTTTGCTTCGTAGCATACCTATACCTACACTTCTATAACACAAAAACCTTTCCACGATTTAATGTACGAGCTATAAGTAATGACAATTAATGAGGCATTTACTTATTAAAAAAAGATAATTTGTGAGCAAAAACTCCATTCACAAAGCAATTTGTGCCGAAAGGGTCCTTATACGATGTGGTTGCAGGTGTGCCAACGGTCTTTTATTATCGAAACCACTTCTGCCCATAGCCCATCTGTATTGTAAATGCTACAAAATGAGGATCCCTTTTACCATGTCTAACATTTTCTGTAGAGACTATTTATTATTAATGTACTTGAATGAAATTGTTTATTTTCCTTGAAAAATAGCAACTGTATTAAGGATCTGTATCTGTCTCTATTTTAATTCTTTTATCGATAAAAATATTAAAAGAATGAAATCAGGAATGCGTAGATATCTATAACTACGAGTTACTTCAGAGCAGATTGAACCCCATCTAAATTAAAATTCTCTATCGTTCTCATTTCACGAAATTGCTTAAAATTGTTGTGCCAAGTCAGCTCAAACTGAAGCTAAGGAATATTTTATTTTCCAGCTTTTGAATATCTACAGATGTTACTACTCGTAACAGAGAACTTCCAACAGTTCGGGAGCTGCACAACTTGAAACAATAACATGCTCTAATTCTTTCGCATACCAGCTCTCATTTACGACCGCTCGATATGGAGAAACGTCTTTTCGGAATCTACATACCGTGATTTAGTCAAGGCGTTCTCAATTTTACAAACAAATGTCAAATATTAAATATGTTCTACACTGAATTGTGTACGTTTTGTAACTCACTAATACTAAAATTGTTGTATTACACTAAACAGGGTGATTGACAACGATTTGGGAATAGATGGAAAATGGAGTCAATATCGTAAAAAAAAATTTGTAAAGTCCATATAGTTTCCGAGAAAAAAATTATTGAAGTTGTAGTATTTTCAACCTTTACATCGCTGGGATACTGTAGTCTCTAGCGTCAGTCGACCACGTGGCCTCAGGCGATTCCGAATACTGAAATCCGATTTAAGTATTATCGTAATTGCGATAGTGTTTACATTAATTTTTCAAAACCATTTTCGAATTACCCTCTTTGATTTTTTTACAAAATTGTATTTGTAAGAGTCCCCCGCACATTCAAAATTTTTTTTAGATAAGTTCTGAATATAACACAGTATACGAAATAAAAGAAGTGCGCTAGCCTGGAGATCTCACTATCTACAATTTGACTTCTTAGAGAAATCCAAATAAATGTATCTACCCATTTTTTTTTCTCTGCTGCTTATCTCACCTAGCAAACAAACTTCAACTGTTTTCAGACCTCTCTAGCGCTGCAATGTGCAAATAGCTAAGTTCTAGAGTTATTCTAGTGGATAATGGTATACGTTTACAAAATTCACTGCAAAGCTGAAGTAGCCGACTCTCTGTAGTGTTTGTCGGCGACACACTTGCTTGCTGAATGCTCGGGAGATCCACCGGAAGTCGGGAAGCACCCGAGTGAATGCCACGTTCTTTGGCTCAGCGTAATGATGATACTTTTCAGCAGAATTGATTTTAGAATTTACCGCACCGTGAAAATACTTGTATTTGCTACAGGCAGAGCAACTAAACTAATTCACTTTTCGTTAATACCATATTTCCATATTAATTAAGTCATTACTATTACTTCAGGCGAATAAGATCGTTAGAATAATTGACTCCGAGCATTACATTACAAAATAGCAATTATGCCTTGAGGATAATTCTATTTATTTGTGTTAGACCATGTGATATAAGAAAAAGTAACAAAAGCTATACGAAATACCGACCTTACTTAACATATTGACTGTTACTGAAGTTGATATGTTTTAGAATAACCAAAACATATACAGGGTGTGGCGTGTACAACCTATAAAAATTAAACTACGTCTTCCTGATGATATTTGTAATTGAAAACTCATATACGAAAAAGTTCTACCTTCGCGTTTTTTTTTTCTAAATTAAAGTTCATTTATTCAAAGAAAATGAAGGCTGACCCTGTGTTATTTATTGTGTTATCAAAAAATTTGTGCAGTCAACTGATTTTGTATTTGTATTGAATTCATTAATCACTTAATTATTAAATATTAAGCATCGTCCATCGACCCATCAGTGTTAAAATATGAAAGAATCCAGACAAAAGTTTTTATTTTGTAATTCCACGATAGTGACAGTTTAATTTTTATAAAGAAGTAAAAAATAAGAATAGCGTGCCGATTACATTAAAAACGAGATTCTTATTTCTTACCTTGCTTAATTTTTTAGTTTGTGCATAAACCAGTTTTACAATGAATCGAGAAAACAATGCATTTACTCGAACGTGTCGATATGGTGTTAGTGTATGGTGCAGCCGAGAAATGCAGACGTTTTTTGAAACGCCTTTTTATTTACTTAAAAAAAAGACGTTCTTCCTGTACCTATATCACTAAAATTCTAGACACACAATTTAGAAGGATTACAGTGTAACTAAACTTCAGCTGTTGCTAAAACTGGGATAAAGTACGAGTAACTGAAGAGGGTACATACACATAATTTTACAAAATCCAGGAAGTAGGACACCGTGTTCCATCATACCATCATACCATAAAATGAAACCCCAGTCACTGCGGCTGCTTTATGGATTCATACACAATATGACCCGTAAGAACGTCGGAAGGAATATATTTTATTGCCTAGTTTTTATGTCGTTTTTATATCACGTTTAGAGAAAGAAAACAATTTTCAGAACCGAACTGGATAGAGGACACCGCTTTCACATGTCGTTATTCGATTTATGGGGCATAAAAAAGCTGTGTAAGCAAAACGAAATGTATCGAGTTATATCGTAATACAAAATCGCTTACTGTTTTATTTGTCAAAAATCTGTACAGAGCTTTTCGTACCAATTTGTTAACAATATATTGTCAAAATTACCTTAGTAATTTATTGCAAACATTTTCAAACACCTAAATATAATTGAAGTTAAAGCTGAGCTCCTTCCAGAAACATCCGAAAGAGAGAAATTATAATTTTGATTAATCGAGAAGGAGTCTCTTACAACACCTTCCTTAGGGTGTGCTGCCAGTTTTTTATGAGAGAAAATTGTACAATTTGAGATATCCAAAGAGCTCCTACCAAGAATTAAAATTCCAGCAGCATTAATCACAATTCATTTCGTATTATGTACTTCAAGGGGAAACGTTACTTCTGTAATTTGCTCGCCTGGGGACGGACTCATTGATCTGGAATTTTATCATTTCTGTCATCGCACAAAGCGTGGAGAAAATAATTAAGAAAATGAAAAAATTCTCACAAAATAGTAGTCAACAATGTGCCGGTATTTATGATAAAATTAATATTAAACAAAAAATCACGTAATCTTTATGTAAATATAAACAAGCACAATTCCTACAGACATAATACCTGCAGAGGTACTGAGGCTCTAAGAAAAAGGTTTGTAATTATTTTCATATTTTTCCATTCATATTTTTCTAAACATAACATCTGAAATCAATAACTCATAAAATTGATACTTAATAGCAAATAATTTTGGGTGATTTACCTTTTATGTCTAAAACGCCATAATAATAATATGTTGCATTCTTTGTATTCACAATTCTGTAATAAATACATGCTTTTATCATTCTTAACATCTTGTAATACCTACCACAATGGATACAAATTAGACTTGATAAATAATTTCCAGTTAAATTTATTAAGTTTTATCATGTTTTCATGTATACATTTAATAATAACAAACTTACAATCAAATAAACATAAACAACTGTTCATGTTCATTTTAAACTGTTTTTTATATTTTATATATTTATGAATTACGTCGGAAATTAATGTAATCGAATTGGTATGGGTTTTAACTTGATATTTCTGTCAATTTCATTCATGTATTGTTAATATGCATGATAATAAAAAATAATAAAGTTTCTTCGAAGAATTAATAATGACTATTATTCCTAATTGTCTTCTGATTCCTCTATGTAATTTAAACTTTAATATAAATAACATTTAAACTTTTGTTACAGGGGCATTCAGACTATATGACGTCGACAACGATGGTTTTATAACAAGAGATGAAATGTATAATATAGTGGACGCCATTTACCAAATGGTGGTAAGTATATTATCTTAAGTTACGCGTGATTTAATTCTTGCACTAAAATAAAGCTGTAGGCCGGAGCTAGTATATACAGGGTGTTCCACCTATGAGGGGTTCTTCTATAACCCTGCAACTGTAAAATTTATAAAAAAAAATGGATTTAATAAAAGTTGTCTGGAATTATGTGGGCCATGTAAAGAAAATATTTTTAGCTTTACAGGGTGTCCCATTTCGCGTGGGCACTACATAACTTTGTTATTTTAAATGGAACACCCTGTATATTATTGCGTTTTGAATTTCTTGGTTGGAATAAGTTTTACTATTGGATTCAGAATTTTCAAACATTTATAGCTGTTTTTCATCCTATTTATTATCGGAACGTCCTTAAGGAACACCCCGTACAGCAAATCGTTTCCCACTGACGCATCCGCCATTTTTAACAATTTGGCATTATTCTTTTATGTTTAAAATTTGCAATCTTTTCCGTTAGGGACTAATTAATTTACAAAAGCCCTCTAATATTTTCGTAACCTGACAAGTACCGGGCGTCTTTTAGCCGACGCCGCCGTCCGTTTTCAACAAGCCGCGCTTCACCGTCCATAAATCTCCCAGCTGTGTACGAATTTATTTATATAAAGTTTCGGTGCTACGGTCCGATCCTTGGAAATCCCTGTTCAAACAAAAGTCCGCCCGGCACCTCCACGGCAATAAATTATCACTGCGCGACGTTGTTATGGGCGAGAATATATTCAGGTGATGCGAAAAGTTAGGGACGAAATGTTTAACAGTTAAATTTAATCTCGAACAAAATGAATGTCATGTTCGAGTCCGACATGGTGGTGGAGACACGAGCTAGATGGAAATCTGGTGTTGGGAATGGAAGTCGTGATAAAATTGGGGAATATTTAATGCGATACAATCAAATAATTACCCGTATTTGGTGAAATATTCTTATTCCTGAGCATAAACTACAAATTTTCTTCTCGAGTGTGTTTTTAGAACGAAAATGTTATTACAAGACTGTTATTGTATTGTTCAATGTCATTTAACACCATTTTGGACAACCCTTCTTGACAATCTTTTGCATTTTCTTGTGTTTGGATGAAGTTAAATCTTAATAAATGATGGTATAAATGTTATAAAGAATACGAAAAGCTCTTCGCTTTGATGATGTCCTGCCTGCCCTGCATTTTTTATGCTTTCGGCAAATCTTACAAAGTTTCATTCGAAGAAGGTCCAACTTATCCCCAGGCCACAGAATTTCACTAGATCGTTTCTTAGAAAGCTTTTAGATATACCTTTTAACGGCTCATGTACCATTTCGAATGTTCAGTAGAAGAGTATTAAAATTACTTTTTGCGAAATAAATAAAAGCTTTTTGACACCCTTGAAACATTGTGTAAAAGCTGTAGCTCGAATAACTGCTTCAATTATTTGATTGTACAAGAAAAAGGTGTTTCTATGTATTTCTGTTAACTTGCAACTACTATAATTGCTAATTACCAGTATCATATTTTTCTAAATAAAATACTACGTCACTGCTTTACGATAACAACCATGATATTTTCGGATTCGTCTTTCAATTTTCTACAAATTACTAGTCTTTTATGTTTTTCGAAAAAAGCCTGATTTTCGAGTAAAACTTAAAAAACGAAAAATTCACCAAAGAATACAAGGTTTCATGTTTGGTCGCCATTTGTGAATCACCCTGTATGTTTTTAATAAATTGTAATATCGCTGTCATAGAGACTATAGGGATAGAAAACAAATTATATTTACCTGTAAACAACGTAGTTGATGTAAAATGTTAAAGGGATAATTAAGTAGACATGTTTTCTAAAATTTTAATGCAATAATTTACATGAAACACTTGTGCTGAATATTTATTAAATAAACCAAGTGTAAAACTTTATTTATAGAATAACTTTTCAGTCCTGTTCCTACAGGAAAAAACTTTTTTCATTAAAGACAGATGTGGGCTGCTGAAACGTATCGATAAATAAAAACTTTTAGCAATCTCGCGAGTACATTTGTTCTTATTTTTGTTCTTTCTATAGAACGTCTTTTAACACACTTCAATTAAATTTCCTTTAATTTAATATCATTCATTCTTTCTCGTAATAATTTCCCTCACTGCGTATATTTTCACCGCGATTCAATTCCCTTAACCCAAACAGTATCGACTTAAAAGCATCATTTGCTTCAATTAACTCTCGGTTCAAGTTAATTGTCCAAGTTCGTGATTTAATTCGAATTGCTGATCTATTGCGAATTTCGAGTTATCATGAAGTTGAACTTTGCGTCGCTGAAAGAGATAATATGTCAGCTGTTCTTCGAAGATGGAATACTATAGTAATCTACAAATTCTTTGAAAATCGCCGAAGTCAGGTCAAATAAGTCACACCGCTACTAAGACAACATTTCGTTTATTTAATATAAACTTCTTCGGGGCATACATCAATATTTAAGTGCTTTGTGTGCTAAAATTATAATCATATGCAGTTACAAATCATATACAATAGCCGGCAATACATTTTCAAACAAAAACATAATACAAGTAATTAATAAAACTATAATAATTAATGTAAAAGAGTAAAAACACAAGTTTGAGAATAAAAATTAAAGCAGAAGTGATACACTTCATTTACCCCCATACCTATTCACCTCTTTTTGTGTACTATGTGAGTGGGACATGATTCCAGTGGTTCTCAATAAGTTGCGCCGTTTTGCGATTTCAACTCACTCTTTAGGAATAGACAGATACAGATATAATAACCTCTTTTCCTGTCCCTAGGGTCAGCAACCGTCCGAAGACGAGAACAACACCCCCCAGAAGAGGGTCGACAAGATCTTCGACCAGATGGACAAGAACCACGACGACCGCCTGACCCTGGAGGAGTTCCGGGAGGGCAGCAAAGCCGATCCCAGGATTGTCCAGGCCCTGACGTTAGGACCGGAATAGCATAAGGAAGAGGGGATCACACCCGAGAAGCTCTGACGTAATAAAGGGACGCAATCCTTACTTCAGGGGGTGGGACTCCGAAGCGAAACGCCAAAATTACTTACATCTCTATTGTGATAGCGTGTGGGACGGCCCTCAGCACGACACTGCTTTGGTTGTTTGTGGGGAATGCTGATTTTATGATTTTTTTTGTTGGAATTTGCGGTGTTCTTGAGGCTGTTCGATTGCCGAATATTATTTTAAGCGTTGCCAATGTTGCCGTAAGCGAGAATATAAAAAGCAATATATTTTTTTATTTAGGCTTTGTTAACTGTTTTGGTTCGTGCTAGCTTTCTGCCCAAATGTCAGAAAAAGTGTTCATAGCAACTCTGAAGATAATGCTAAATGTATAAGCACTTCATCAAATGAGTTTCACAAAGATTAAGGGGGTAAGGTTTAATAAAAAAGGTACCATAATTGATTTCACTAAACATAAACTAAATGAGGAATAAATGAGCGCATATAACTTTGTGAAATACATTTGGCATCTAGTTAAATCCAACTCTTCCTAGTAACTCCATTTGGTACTATATTTGACTCACGACGAACCTTTTCTGACAGATGATCTACAAGAAATGTCCCAAGAACATCCACGAAGTGAAATTGTATCCGAATGTATAAATTATTTGACACTACTTTCGGTGGGATTAAGAAACTTTGGTATAATTTTAATTTTTTGCCTTACGAATCGAATTTCGCCCTTCGTAAGATGAAAAACAGCTACGACGCTCAATTATAAATATTAGGTGGAAGTCAGGGGGAAGTATATGTTTGGGAACGAACAGGAAATTTGATGAAAGTTTGTCATTGTCAAAAATATATAAATAAACACCCAATTTTTTCTAAAAAGTTCCCGAGAAATAGAGTAACATACCTACCTTCTTTTCGGCTGCTTCATTTTCTTCGATTTCCTGTTTGCTCCCTGTTTGTATCCGTCAATTGAACCCTCTTGCGATACAAAGCCACTTACCAAACTGTACATTGCTTACTTATTTCAAACCAATGAGCACAAACAGAGACAATCAGTCGGTTTTAGTATTTGTTTGTGCTTTGTCGAACCTGCTTTTGACATTTTGCTATAGTCGTAAGCTAATGAGGAATTGATTTCGATGAATGGAATGGCTTAAGTCGTTGTTTTTTTTATTAGTTACTAATAAGGCTTTCCTTTGCAGTGATTCTTCTTCTACAAGTTTGTTTTTATTATCAATTTAGATTTTTCGTTAAGATATGATGATTTTTTGTGCATGTGTGTATGTGTGTGTGTAATTTAATTTATGTTACTTTTGATTGTACAATTTTTTAAATGATATTTTTTGTTGAAAAGAATGTTTCGCAATTCCTCATTATTTCCAAATACTAAACCTATAGTGTGTATATTGTATAGCACCTTTTGTCCAGAAAAATTTAAACTGTTTTCTCTTTAAAACTTACCCATCGGTTAGACTGAAGAAGACTGTATAAAAAATAGTGTTGTAGCGTCTGTAATTGGAACCTAGTGATTTTATGCCAATATAAAAATGAAATTTTAAATTTTTTTGGGCAACCTATATACCAATTTGTATAGATTTAAAAATGTATAAATTTTTAAACAAATTTTTCAATATATCCATTTTCACGTCCATAAACAAAAAAACAGTGAATGTTAACAGGACTTAAAAACAAATGAATACTACAAACGATGTTACAGAATAAGAACATGATTTTGGGTTTCAAACCTTTCTTTCTAAATACATCTATTATGTTCAGATTTTTTAAAACCATAATTGAAAAAATACTTCTGTCTTTATGTGTCAATTTATAAATTTTAATTAAACGGATCGGATTTCTCCAGATAAACTTTTTATTTTGTTTGTAGCTCAACTTTGATCAACTACCAAATCCTTATTAAAGTGAAAATTTGCATTAACCTTGTTGGAAACCACGTTAACAAGAACTGTATAAACTTTACTAATGCGTGGTAGAGATAGACCATTTAGATGTAATTTTTAAACTTCCCATGTAATATAGTGGTTTTAATATTAAAGTATATTGGACTTAAGACGTTAAGAAAAAATTTTACGAGGTGAAATATGGATTTCAACAACTTGTTCTTAAATCGTCATTATAAGATAGCTTCTCATAATAATATTTTTATCCATGGGTCTCTAGACACAGCGTTAGAAAATTATGAACAATTCTTGAAATTTTTTGCGAGGCTTTTAGCATTTCATACGTTTTTTCTATAATATAATCACAGTTCTTTGCAATTTGTTTAAGAACAAGTCGTAAATTTACAACAAACTTGTAGCTAATAAAATATAAGAACATTTTAACTTTTCTAATCATAGTTTACGTATTTTGACACGAGTATGCAAGAGTTTGCTCTGAGTTAAACTAGAGTTGGTACTGACAATACCTTACAAATAATTATACATGTCGCTACTCGAGAGAAGCCGAATACTTTTAATCTAATACGGCTTTCATTACCCTTTTTAAAACAGCTTGAAAAAAAATAAAGTCCTTAATCGCTGTATGTATATTTTTTCTATTAGCTTACTCACCACGACTTCAACACTTGAGATAGTAGAGATAGTTGTTATCTAATTTTAAATATCTAGGTAATGAAAAGTGCACGTTTGATTAACTTTAAACAGGGTGTTCTGAAATTAAGTTCAGAAAGTTTAAGAAACGGTTCTCTTCATAGAAATAATGATACGTATGGGTTAAGTAAGGTCAAAGTTAATTTAAAGTCAATATTTTGCTATATTTTTCTGTTAAATGATTTTTTTCAAATTTAGTTCATTTATTATTTACACCTACTAATTTCTGAAAGGCTTAAATCACCCTTATGGTCTAGAAAACTAGCTATAACATTTTTTTGTATACATTTTTCCGAAAAATGAAACAACTTGCCACAAGAACTTGTATCTTTATTTTTTTTGAGTAGTATCTCTCCCTAAATATGTGCACTTATTTTCCGAACACCCATATTATAGTAAGTCATTCAATATGTATATATTTGTAAGTTAAATGACAAATTTTGCAAATTGTATATAAGTAGGTACTTATATGTGTCTTAGGCTACTTTCAATTGAAGAAAATGGAAAATTAAACTATAAAATATACGAGAATTAATTGTTTACCCTTTAATAAATCTAGTAAGCTTTGTACAGCATCGAATTTCAGTTCCGTTTTTAGATAAATTCTAAATTTGTCATTTAATTGTAGCATAAAAGTGTGTCCGTTTTATAATATTTTATTTTGAAAAGGTGGCCTAAATATTACAGTTGGGTTATAATTTGATACAGGTTTCTTATGGTTTCCGGAACGTTTTTATTAAAAAATAAATTTGTAAAGCTTGTCGTCTACACAGAGACTCCTTTATTGTGAAAATATATTTTCACAAAAACAATTTTAAAAATTTAATATTCGTTTTAATTTTTGGACGCCCCATATAAATAATAAGTTTCTTTATATTTATTTATTTAAAAATCTATATACGAATTCGTAAATACCTGTCAAGAAAGCCATAACCAACCTGTAGTAGATGTAGCATTGCGCTATTTTTCTTTTTCCAACCTTCTGTGATAATTACAATCATTGTATCGCAATAATGAAAATGCTGTGTCTTGTATTGCAGTAGGCTGTTCTCGTTGTTTGTTTTAGATTAAAATTGTACTATGGTTGTTTTGAACAGTGGTTGTTGTTAAATTATGACGCGAGAGGATATTGTGTTTTGTATTATTACAAATCAATGTACAAAAATAAATAGTATAAACAGTAAATACGGATTTTATTGCTTTGTTTTTGGTGGTTTACTAAACAGTGCCTTTTTACTATTTTTTTAGATGTCTTGCAGGACTACTATATTATTTTTTAGATACAGTTTGTTTTTAAATACTTGTTTTCAAATAAATAGCGCCATAACAAATGTATCTCTATAATTTAAATTAAAAAAAAAGATGGTCGTAGAAATTCCATTAAAAAAAAACTGTAACACACTAGTAGTAGTAGAGAATCATTTATAGGTCATTATATTGCTACAAGACATACCCAATTTGGTTTCGTCAGCTGTTTTTTAAATATCACGAAAAAATTTCAGGTGCACTTGTTCAGTTAATCCTGTCAAGTCCGGTATCAATTGTTAAAGTTAATACGTTTGAAAAGGGAACGCCCTGTATGTTTCATTGGTTTCGAGTATACCAGTAACTAGAAAAATTAGATTTATAAGATGGAAATTAAAATACACTCGGAAACTTAACAATTAGATCACACGAAATATTTTTAGGTCCTACTAATTAGAAAAGCTGCTTTTTTAATAAATGTATCTTATTTGATTTTCAATTAATGTCATTTACATCATTCTGACAGCTATCAGACTTTGCATGTCGGAAACGTCAAATCCTCCTAATATGTCACCGATTACAAATTTGAAGTAAACGCCACATAATGAGTAGCATGAGAATAGTACCGTTAGAGAAAAGAAATTTAATGAAAAGCGAGACTACCTTTCATCTTCTCGGAAACAGAGTTTCGTTACCGGGAAACTACGGTGGACTTGGAAGGAGGTACTACGACCAGCTGGGGCAAGATCTGGATAAAATTATTCAGGTGAGAAAATAAAACTCTTACACAAAAACCTTCGATGAGATTAAACACTATCATATATAGTTGATGCTTGTAGAACAAGTTCAATATTTCATTCATGTTTATTTGAAACAAGAGCAACATCAAAAACTTTGTAAGGTGGAAATAGTTTATGGATTTTATTAACTAAATTCCTAGCTTTCTATAATCCAATGCCAAAATAGCAGGAGGTGGAGTAATAAGTAATAAAACTATAATTGTTAATGTTTCTTAATTTGATAAAATATTGTAATGTACCGTTAATTTGGCATAGTGTTCTGATATTAGTTACTTTTCCTCAAATCATTTAAGGTACAGTCTTTTGAAAAGAGCCTTGGAAGTTTGTCGAAATATCGACCCATTTCCCGTTGTGCAAACACTTTGTTGATAACGCCCCTTTTTAAGGTAGATGTCGCAACCGGATTTACAGAGACCAAAGGCTCGGTAAGAGGCAGGGCCATCCAATTATCGTTGGCGATGAAGCAAAGGGGCGTGATGGAAAACGACATCATCGTGATAATCAGCAGGAACCACGCCGACCAGACCATAGTGGTACTAGCAGCGCTATTCCTGGGAGCCATCGTAGCCCCACTAGACCCAGAATTCAGCTACCGGGATTGCCTCGAGTTACTGAAGAAGCTGAAACCGAAAATGTGTTTCTGTGACATCCGGACTATAAGTCAGGTGGAAAGGATCCTACCCGCCATCAACCACAACTCGGATCTGGTGCACTTTGGCCAGAAAATGGGGGCCTCCACTCAGTTCTCCAAACTGTTTACACACAAGGAGAGTGACTTCTTCCAGCCGATCTTCTTGGAGAACCCGATTTTGTCCGTCGCGTTCGTTTTACCCACCCAGGGAACCAGCGGGAGCCCCAAGTTAATATGCCTGTCCCATCACAACATCACCATACAGACCAACATACTTCTGAATGTCTTCAGTCAGCCGGACAAGGTGATTTCGTTTTTTCCCTTGTCTTGGATCGTGCAGGCGGTTCTTGTTTGTACCTCTTTCGAGGCTGGCGTGATGAGAATCCTTCCTGTCGCATTTACGGAGCGAAGTGCTTGCAAGATCATCCAAGACTTTGATATTGGATACGCTATCTTCGGTACTGATTACGCGATGAGATTGATTAGTAACGTCGCTATTAAGGTAAGAAGTACCTAGTCTTCAAAGTACATTTTTTGATTGATATTTTCCCAGGACTATAACATGAACTGTCTCAAATGTATCATGATCGGTACTGTCAATACAACCAAGTACGACTTGCACCAGCTGAAAACTCTGATGCCTCACGTCAAGTTCCTTCAGTGCTACTGCTTGACGGAGACCGGTTTCATAGCTGCCTCCACCATAGCGAACTACGAGGAGTCGTTGGAAAAGCCTGATTCCGTGGGTAAATTGACGTTGAACAGCAAAATCAAGATCATCGATTTAGATACGAAGGAGAACGTTGGACCTGATAAGTATGGAGAACTCTACTTCAACGGGGATGGAATAATGTTGGGGTAAGTTTATCAGTTTCCAATGTGCTGCAACTAATCGATATAGAAACATTTTGTACTGCAAAGTCTTATTAGATAGAAATAAATTGGTTTCCTCGAATGTATTTGGTATTATAAAACTTTAATATCGTTTTAGATATTTTAAGGATTCGGAGAAGACGGTGAACGCGATGGAAAAAGGTTATTTCAAAACGGGAGACGTTGCCATGTACGACCAAGACGGTTGGGTGTACGTCCAGGGAAGAATCGAGGATATAATAACAATAAACAATCAGCGCGTATTCTTCTTGGAATTGGAAAACGTCATTCTGTCGCATCCCTTCGTGAAAGACGTAGCTATTATCGGAGACAGTAAAACTGTACTGGCTTGCGTTATGAAGAAGGGCGACTCCTCTTTAACTGCTGAGAAACTTATGAAGTATTAGATTATTTCTCTAAAAATTGAAAGAAAATAGGCAGAAATTGGGAATACATTTCCTGACTATTGAGGAATCCCAGTCAGACACCATACTTGTCTCATTCCAATCTATTTGTGCCTATTGACTTGTTCTGTATCTTTGCACCCTATTTTATGCATTTGCTGGTAATAAAGATAATTATTTTCCAGATTCATATCCGAAAGGATGGATCATAATTTCTTGCCCTCGAGGATAATTTTTTTGGACAACTTTCCAAGAACTTCCATTGGAACTGTAAAACGACGTCTATTAAGAGAGCAACAGTTACAAATTAAAATTGAATATTCCTCCAGTATAGAAACAATCCGATAAATAATGTTTAATTAAAATTTGTAAATATAACTCTTCCGATAATAAAGTCTATACTACCAAAAGTTCGTGGGTTATTCGAATTTGTTAGTAGCCCATCGGTTTAAAGTGTCAAACTTTGAATCGATGTTGCCACTGTTGCAGGTTTGATCCTCTCATCCAAAAGACGTACCTACTATTAGTTAAAACAATGAAATCATCCTAAAACAATTTATTTTTAAACGCTTCGACTCTTATACAGGGTGTGGCATATATAATCTATATATATATTCTTATTTTTTACTTTATAAAAATTACACTGTCACTATCGTGGAATTACAAAATGAAAACTTTGATCTGGAATCTTTCACTTTTTAACACTGATGGGTCGATGGACGATTCTTAATATTTAATAATTAAGTGAATAATGAATTCAATACAAATACAAAATCATTAATTAAATTATAAGGTTGCATCTCGGGTCGCGTAAAAACAATTCCAAAGTTTTTAATAAATAACGCAGGGTCGACCTTCATTTTCGTTAAATAAATGAACTTAATTTACAAAAAAAACGCGAAGATAAGTCGTATAAGAGTTTTCTATTACAAATGTCATCAGCAAGCTGTAGTTTAATTTCTATAGACTATACACGCCACACCCTGTATATTTTGATTATTTTGGTAAAAAAAATCCCATATAAACGCCAACGTTACGCCTGTGTAATCTGTAAATAAAATGCAACGATACTGGGAAAAGACAAAACAGGTAATGACGTATCGATGCTTCATCCTTCATTAAGTCAGCGGCCTGCGGATAACCAGTCATTGTATTTGTGCGTATCAGCTGACAGAAAATGAGTGCTCGAATAATAAGAGGCGATAAAAGTGGTAGTAAATTGGACAAAAGAGGTTTAGGAGAATTTTATTTCGACTCTGCCCACAAACATGGGGATAAAATTTGTCAGGTAACATTGCAAGGAATTATTGACAATAAACACTGAAAAGAACATACATATTAACTTTGTTCCGAGAACAATCCAAAACAGTTTTCAACAGTCGGACGCATGCGCATCCCGACATAATGCTTATACGAAGTTCATTCGAATCAAATGCGATTGTGTTGGAAACTCTTTTTTCAAATACTAAGAATACATTTTTTGGAAAGTATATACACTATTTGTAACATATTTTTTAGCTAGACGCTGCAACAGGTCGGGAAGAATCGTACAGGAGCGTTAAAGAACGTTCGACGAGGGTAGCCATACACTTGCGAAATTTAGGCTTAAAATCAGAAGACGTGGTACTTTGTTGTCTGAAAAACACCTTGGACAACATAATCCCTATCCTGTCAGCCTTGTATTTAGGTGCTAAAGTAGCCTCTTTGGACACCTCTCAATCAGTAAAGGACTGTGCGCACTGTATTTCCATTGTAAGGGCAAAATATGTCTTTGTCGAAGACCAATCGCTGAAACTGATTGAAGATAGCCTCATCGAGGCAAAGTTAAACTCAACGATTATCGTCGTAGGGGAATCTGTGAAGTACAGGACTCTGCAAGAACTTCTAGAGTTTACACCTGAAGAAAACAAGTTTAGGCCTGTGACTGTCAAGAATTGTCACGAGACCGCATTCATATACTTCAGCAGCGGCACCTCGGGATTGCCTAAAGGAATCTGCATTACCCATTTTGGACTGTTGAACAGCAAGAAGGCAGTGGTGTATGTATAATGGCCTACAAAAAATTATCTAATTCTTATTTATATGTGTCAATAATATCTATTAGTGTGGTAAAGTTTTCTGGTATCGAAGAACTATATTTGACTTCATTTGGTAAGATTTTTTGGAACAAATTTTGGAATTTTGCCAAATTATTGATATGCGGGAAACATGGTATATTAGAATTTGTAATAATTTTCAAATGGTAACAGTTAGAACACAAATATTTAACAATACGAGGAACAAAGGTTAGAAAACCATTTCGGATATACGAGACTATCACTATATTATACAGAGTATTTCATATTTCAAACAATATTTCAACGAATTCAAATTTAAATGTCTAATTTTATGCACTTTTTTGCCCTCCTTAGGTTTTATTAAAATATATATACGATCTTTGGAGATATTTCACTTTTTGCGAATTGTTATATTAAATCTACTTTTATATTTTTGCTATAGGTACTATTATATTTAATTTTAATGGCATTATATCGACCATGGGCTATAATTAATTTGAATTATGCATAATAATTAATACGTAAGAATAATAAATTGTTTGAAATTAAGTTAATCTGTGAATTTTTCTTAGTTGGTTGATATTTTAAAATTTTAATGCATCTGGAAGGACCAAAAATACCAAAATATTACGCTTAGACATATTTCTCAGTTGATTACTATTTTAGAAATACGGGTATCTTCGACCCTAGGGTTATGTTACATTTTTCCTCGTTCTACTGGATCTCTGCAGCGGCACTAACGACTACAGCTTTCATAAAAGGTGGTTGTCGTATACTAGCTTCGAAATTTGACGCAGAAGAAGCCTTTTGGATAATCCAAAAATACAAGGTAATAGTTTTTCTCAATAGTTTTTCTCTTTTTTTTTGGGTATTTTCCACACTCTTAACTGAAATATAAAAATAAATAATAAGTAAACCTCTCTCTGCTTCAGTCAAAGAATATTTTTAGCTAACGTTTCGAAAGATTTTCTACTTTTGTTTTCAAAACTACCCATTCATCTGTTTATTTATTTATTGTTTGATTGATTTATTGATAATTTATTTTATTTATTGTCGAATGTGACAATTTTATTTGTCTATCTACTTTTCTAGATGGATGACATGGTATAATATTTAATTTTTTATTACTTCCTTTTAAGAATTAGACCAGGGCGGATCTGTTTTGAGATGGATGTGAGAGTGGGCAAGCAATTTTTTTCTGGATTACCTTTAGTACAACTCACGTAATAAAAGTGTAGATCCCTAGATCAGGGCGAGGTCCGGAACATTTTCAAAATTGCAAAAATGTTTAAAAAAATTTAAAAAATACCTACTTTATCTGAGTTTTTTACTTATATCTTGGAACATGTGCATTTTGGAAGGGTATTGAAGGGGAAAAAAGTTTTAGAATTGAATTTTGCACAATATACTGCAGCAATAATTGATGAAAAAAAGGCAAAATAATCAAGTTTTTTAATCAAGAGGGCATTCTAATTTTGGTAAAAAAAACTTTAGAGTATAATAAACAACACATCAAATTTCATTAAAATCGGTTCTATAGTTTTCGCAAAATAATTTTTTGAAAAAAAATTTGAAAAAAAAAATTCGAATTTTCAAAATGTTGCACAGCATCTAGATACTTGAAAATTTTTTCACATAGAAAATACCACTCAACCTTTCAAATGGTTTTTGAAAAATTGAAGTCGGTTGATTAGGCCACAGTAAATTTTTAAAGTTAACACTCTTTTTGTATTTTTAAACAATTAGTTGGCTTGCCCCCTCTTACTTCTAAGAAGAGGGATATTTCGACAGATCCGCCCTGGTCTAGATTGAGAACCAGCATTGATCAAAACTTTAAAGAGACATTTGCTTCTCTTGGCAATTTGAACTTTGAAGCAATAGTTTAATCCTTTATGGGCAAACCATTATACGACAAACTTTTATTGCTTTCTAGGTTACCACCATATTTCTAGCCCCAATCTACACCTACTATTTAATGGCTGTAAATAATGCGGACAAATACGACACAAGTTCTCTGTCTAGAATGATAATTGGAGGTTCTCCGCTCTGCGAAAATCAACTCAAAAAAACGCGAGAGTTGTTCAAACATACCTTCGTGAGCTTGATGTATGGCACCACTGAAACCCATGGTTGTATCACCGCTTTCGATTACACCAAAAATCGGCACGGTACTGACAAATGTGGGTCGTCTGGGAAATGCGTAAATGATACTGAAATCAAGGTATGGTCAAGGGACAAAGTATTACCAAAACCCCAATAATTCTTTTTTATTTTTTGGGGATTTTGCTATACTGCAAATTAGAATTTTAAGAAGAATAAACACATTAAATAAACACCACAGGGTGTTTATTAAGTACTTGTATAAAATTTAAAGGGTAAATTGCCATGTTATTGGACAAAAATATAATCAAAATACCAAACAAAAATTTTTTTTGGACGCTTTTTATATAAAAACAAAGCCGTTGGACCCATATTCATATGAACTTTTTATCTTAAAATTTGTCAAAGATTCACGCTTTAAAGTTTGTACGAGTACTCAATAAACACCCTGTATAATTGAATATGAATTTTACTTAGTAGGTTATATCGGTATAAAATACGGTGTCTTCATTTTGAAGAGACAATACTGCATATGGTGACATTTAGTTAACCACAGAAATTTATTCGTAAAAAATACAATTTAATCAATTTTTAATTTTTTCCCATTGAAAAATGAACCACAAAATCACTCAAGTTATGTAGATACAATAAAAACATAAAATAATAATTATAAACATAGGAAAATAAATTAAACATTTACAAAAATTATTTTACTTGTTGAAAACCGATTCTTTTTTAAAAAATTGTGAGAAAAATTGGACCTTTTCTTATTTCTAAAATAAGTTAAAAATGGAAAACTCACATTTATCAATTTTGAACGTATATTGTTTCTCTTGAACAGACTTTCTTTCAGATTGTCGACATAGAATCTAGAGAATTACTAGGCCCAAATCAAAAAGGAGAAATATGCGTAAGAAGCCCGTACCTATCGCCTGGATACTACAACGACCCTACTCGAATCTACGATACAGACAACTTCGTCAAAACGGGGGACATAGGCTACTACGACGAAGACGAATACATCTACGTGGTAGACAGAATCAAGGAAATGTTCAAATACAAGTCGTGGCACGTGGTGCCGACGTCCTTGGAAGCCGTCTTACAGGAACACCCGTGCGTAAAAGAAGCAGCAGTTTTCGGGATCCCTCACGACGTTGACGAATTCTGGCCTGCCGCGTGCGTCACCCTCAAAGATGGTTCAGAGATTACCGCGGAAGAAATTGACGCATTTTTCACAGGCAGGGTCGCTGGGTGGCAGAAATTGAGAGGGGGGATAAAAATTGTCGAAACGTTGCCTAAAACTCCCAGTGGGAAATTGCAGAGGTGGAAAATTAAGAAGATGCTTTTAGCAGTCGAAGACTATTCATGACTTTAGTAATATGTGATGCTATTTGTTGTTTATGGATTTGTAATTTTTTTGTTTATCAATGTAACATGGAATCTTACGTTTTTCGAGTAATTAAAGTGTAAATTTTAATAAATAGCTCAAAATTGTACATAATGATTAGAAAAAAATTTTCGGATTCTAGTTTTTTTCGTTTCTTTGCATTTCCTGAGAAAACTTACCATAGTAATGTATATTTTTTTTTACACCATAAGAAAGTAGAGATTTCAACGAAGAAAAAGCCCACCGACGTTTTTAAAAAAGCAGATATTTTGACGTGAGAATTTTCGATTGAAAATTCTCACGTCAAAATATCTGCTTTTTT